TGTATTATGCTATACCTTAGTGTTCTAGAATTACTTTGTGAATGTCTAGAGATCATTAAGTCATTGTAACTGTTTCCCTATTCAACTCTTTGAGCTACTCATTTTGCTCCATTCTTCTCTCAAGCACACCTCCAAAATAAAACTTTATTTCCCCTAAAATCTTTAGTTTATAAGTAATAAATCGTTATAAGGAAAAATACATTGTCTCCCAGTTTTCTGATTTTACCACTATGAAATCGATTTCTGTTGAAGTGAATCCTCTATAACTTCTAATAAAGTCTACTAGAAGTTTTTTTCATTTTTCATAAATAAATTCTGTTTATTTATTTATTATTCATTTATCTTTCTATTGACTGGGTCATACCTTTCCGTTTCTTTGTTTGTTTTGGCTTCTTGTTGAAAACTGTACATTTGAATCCAACAATGTGGTGACTCTGGAACTCGGATTCTCCCTCTTGTCCAAGGTGCACTGTTGTTTGGATATTGATTTCGTTTACAGTTTTTGGATTGCTGTAGCCTGTCTCTGCACTGAGGTTTAGCCAGAGGTTTAAACTTAACATCTTCTGGGTCTTTTCTGAGACTGTACCTTCTCCTGGGCATGTGTGATCATTTCTAAGTTTCCCCATATAAATTTCCTAGTCTTTACTGTCTGGATCTTAAAAGGGAGAAAAGAGAGAAATTAAAAAGGGGATGTTGGTCCTTTAAATCCCCCGGAAGCTACTTCAGCCAGAAGGAAAGGGGCTTGTGATACTGGGAGGTGGTGTTTACTGCCTCCATCTGGGCAGTAGAAACAGCCAGCAGAGCACAGGTTCTCGATAATTGAAGAATGGGGGCCTTTTCTGCTCACCTTGGTCCCACAAGATGAGTGTGAGTTTCACCAAAAAATGTGCACAGCTTCCTGCCATAGGGCTGTGCAGTGGAGATGAGCAGCTACTTGTGTGCGACCCAGAAAAACCCACCAACGTTAAAATTTATCTTCTAAGCCTTTCGCCTGGGAGTTGCAAGCCTTCAGTAGATGCCAGAGCTCCCAGCTAGCTGTATCAGCTGAATCTGTATCAGACAGATTCTCTTCGTGCATTATTATCTAGATGGGGAGACAGATTGCTGGGGCTTTAAACTCCACCATCTTCCCGGAACCTCTCCCTCACTTTCTGTGCTTTTAAACTATCAAAAGTAAAAGTATCATAGAAAAAAAGGAAGTTCTGACACATGCTACAACTTGGATGATCTTTGAAAACATTATGCTAACAGGAAGAAGACAGAAAAAAGGTCATACGTTACATGATGATTCCAGTTAAATGAAATACCCAGAATAGTCATTCATTGAGATAGAACGCAGATTAGTGGCTGCCAGCAGCTTGAGGGAAGGGGACAGTGGTTGACTATCTAATGGACTTGGGGTCTCCTGTGGGTGTGATGAAGCTATTTTGGAACTAGATAAGCTGATAGTTGTACAATTTTCTGAATGTATTAAAGGCCCCTGTATTGCACATTTGAAAATAGTTTAGTATATTCAATTCAATTAAAAAAGTAATAAAAGTATTAGAAAAAAATAGTAAAGGTATCATAAAATACCATGAACAGAAAGCCTGTGTTCAGTAAGTGTTATTCAAGAAACCTGCACTGTGCATTTTCTCACAAACCCATCTTTATATTCTGACTCCAATGCAGAATGACAGTAAGCTGTCTAGCTGGCTGCTCTCCTTGGGGAGTCTGGGTGCTGACAGTGTCTGAGTCATTGTCCTGGGTCCGTCTGTCTTTGAGTACAGGTTAAGCATCCCTAATCTGATAATCCAAACTCTGAAATGTTTCAAAATGCGGAACTTGCCGAGTGCCGACGTGAAGCTACAAGTGGCAAATTCTACACCTGACCTCACGTGGTGGGTCACAGTCAGAATGTTCTGTTAACTACATCTGTGTGAATAGGTGTAAGAAAAGTCTGCTCATGGTGGCATATCCATTCAAAGTCGGGAATGAGGGGGATGCCGGGCACCCAGGGATTGTCCCCGGGGGTGCAGAGACAGCAGTGCATTTGCCTTCTAGCTCCGTGTACACAGACCTTGTTTCACGCTCCCTGTTGTTTGAGATCTTGTATAAAACTATCTTCAGGTTATGTGTATAAGACATATAGGAAGCATAAATAGATTTTGTGTCTAGACTTGGGTCCAGTGCCTAAGTTGTGTCATTATGTATATGCAAATATTTCAAAATGTGAGAAAAGGTCTGGAATTTGAAGAATTTGAAATCTGAAATTCTGATTCAGGCCATTTTGGATCCTCAACCTGCAGTATCATTCCCATGTGTCCCCCTAGTGCCTTCCCACTGCCTGCTAATGTTGGACACCCGTGCCTTGCAGCTGGGTTTCTGCTGTCGGTAGCCCTCTCCATCTACCTCTCTTCCTGGCACAGGTCAGTCTTCTGAGTTTACACCCTTGGTCACATTCAGGCGCTGCAGAGACTCTGGACCTTCACTGATGTGTCATCAGGAGCAGAGAACTCCCACTGATACACACTGCTTACAGAGCCAGTCCCACACCCCAGAGTTTACTGTGTTTGTACCCAGTGGCTGTGGACCTCTCCAGGGCTGTTAGGCTAGGCCTGACGTGTGGTCAGTAGCCTGTTTGCCTGAGC